TAAAAAGAAATAAGTCGAGGACCTCCCTGTACTTTTTTCCTCTTAGGCTAAACGCAAAAACAAGGATTTTTCTTGAAACCTGGCCTCAACGACTCATTCACAGAAAGCAGAAAATGAAAAAGCTCAAGTAGAAATAAAAGGAATTACTCTCCGCGTCGAGGAGATCAGTGTTTCCTTGGTGCGCATTCCGTGACTGGGATCGCTCGGTAAAAATACAAAATAGTGTAACCACAGAAACAAATCTATGCTGATGACATTTCGTTTAAACTCGCAACAAAACTTGGTCAAAACCGACAAGAAGTCCATCTGAGACGTGTGCTTTTTCCTCCTGCGTGTATCTGTCTTGTAAACGTCTGTAGAGCACAGGTAGAATTAAAGTGTCAGGTGAATTGGGATAAAGACGAGCGCCTGGGCTGGACTGCGATGTGAATAATTTAGCCGGGAAAAGTGCGGAGAACTATTTACAGCGTGTATCTGCTGAGACGGGTGTGTAGAGACAGTAAATTAAGGTTAGAGGGTAATGCGGAGGGTGAAGCATTCGTCATATCTTCACCAACAGGGATCTTGTCGTAGCTTTTGAAGCTGTCTTGATATGCAGCCCTGCCTGGAGGAAAAATGTGCTACTTTTTTCCCCTCCTGAACTCTGGATACTAACTGGTGATTGTCCATAGAGGTAACATATAAATTTAGCTTGACACCTCATGAACCCCACCGTCGCATCCACTCATGCCATCCACCAAATCTCCCTGACAGGCCTGCCAATTTTCCAATTACCTGTGGTGCCATCCGTTATCAGAAGACTAGTCAGCTCTTAAATAGGAAACAAGAGGAGAGGAGGGGCCAGCGCATGCTAACTATCTCATAAAAGCCCGAGATGAGTCTCTTCCTGTGATTTAGTGCGTGTCCCTGAGGAGGGAGACGGAGGTGACACAAAGTCCTCTTGGCCTTTCAGGGGCCTTCGCAGGATTTGTCATCTGCTCTTTAGCCTCCTCCTTGCTTCCGCGCTCTTCGTCCGTAAAACGAGTTTTGACATGGCCTAAGGGTGACGGACGAGTGTCACACATTCCCACTCCCCCCAGACCCTTTTCGCTAGATCTAGATAGATAGATACATAGATACATAGATAGATAGATAGATAGATACATAGATAGATAGATAGATACATAGATAGATAGATAGATCTATCTATGTATCTATCTATCTATCTATCTATGTATCTATCTATCTATCTATCTATGTATCTATCTATCTATCTATCCATCCATATATCTATCTTTCTAACTATCTATCCATCCATCCATCCATCCATATATCTATCCATCTATCATCTAACGATCTATCTATCTATCCATCCATCCATCTATCTATCTATCTATCTATCTATCTATGTATCTATCTATCTATCTATGTATCTATCTATCTATCTATGTATCTATCTATCTATCTATGTATCTATCTATCTATCTATGTATCTATCTATCTATCTATCTATCTATGTATCTATCTATCTATCTATGTATCTATCTATCTATCTATCTATCTATGTATCTATCTATCTATCTATCTATGTATCTATCTATCTATCTATGTATCTATCTATCTATCTATGTATCTATCTATCTATCTATCTATCTATCCATCCATCTACCCATCTATCCATCCATACATCCATCCATCTATCTATCTATCCATCTATCCATCCATCCATCCATCTATCCATCTATCCATCTATCCATCCATCCATCTATGCATCTATCCATCCATCTATGCATCTATCCATCCATCTATGCATCTATCCATCCATCTATGCATCTATCCATCCCTCTATGCATCTATCCATCCATCTATCTAAAGTACATAAATGGAAAAAAATGGAAAATACATTTCAAGGAAAACTACTATGTATTACTAGGTGATATTGGCAGTGAAGGTATTGTATTATATATAAAGTGACCGAGAAGGCCTGAGAAGTGGTGAATATTACGATTTGTTTTGTTGTTGGCTGCGGCCCATAGTAGCCTGTGTACTCTTGACTGATTAAACCTTAAGTAAGAAACACTTGGCAGTATCATCGTTTTGTGCCGAGGGTGTATTTGTGACTGATTAGATGCTAATATATTTATAAATTCCCCATCAGTGAAATATCTGTCCAAATCCTTATGGCCGATGGCAGTAAAATAGACGACCATCGTCCGATACCGATGTTCATCCGATGCATCCTTATTTAACGCACATCAGGACTAATGTTGACTATTTTTAGGGTGTTATTCATTTCCATAGAAATATTACACATTTAACCAGAGGCAATTTTTTTTTTTTGCCAAAACACGAAGTCAAGCAACCCGTAAACTTAACTTGTTGCTGTTGCCTTGCATGCAACACTACTGAAGTCATGAACTGTTATAACCCTGGAAAAAAAAAAAAAAAGATTGAGGAGCTCACTGTTCATAACTGATTTTATAAAGTCAGCACAGATTTGTTGCCGAGGCAACGCTGATACTGCATCTTAAACAAGTCCTTGTTTTGTTTTTAATAATAACAAACGTGTGGTTATGTTTGGCAGCGTCGGCCTCTTTGAGTGATGTCTGCTTTAAGGTGAGTGAAGAAGCAGGTACTTCACCTGCTGACACGCCCGCAGCAGTTGAAGTACTCCCGCACTGTGGGATACTTTAATCGCGTCCCTTTGGGGTAAATGTAGGCGTAAAACGAGACAGTTTCCTCGTTGCTTTCTATAGGCTGACAGGCTCTCTGGCACTAACACATTCACTACAAACAGGTTAAGGCAGTACTTCTCAAATAGTGGGGCGGGCCCCCCTGGGGAGGCGTCGTGATGTGCAAGTGGGGGACCGTGAGAGGCTTCCAGTGGAATATGGCACGATGAACAGAAGTGGGCTGCTGCTGCTCTATTTCTAGAACAACCCTCCAGTCACTAGGTGGCAGCAGTGCTCAAAATAAAATAGTGTCGGAGGAGGAGAGATCAACAATCAAAGAAACGCAGGAGGCGTCAGAGGCGAGGAAAGCAAATAACGATAATTGGCATAAAGGGGCCAGGAAATACCACGACGAGGACGAAGTAAAGCGAACTTGGAAATTGTTTGAAGCTGTTCGAGATGTTATATTGGCTCGTTTTATTGATCTATTTTGATAATCGGGAAAATACGTATTATCAGGTTCTCAATAGTATTTCAATTCGGGGCTGAGGCGTGAAAACATTCCTGTCCCCTTGGGGCGGCATGAAAGAAAATTAATATAGAAACAAAGGGTTGAGGAAATGCCACAATTTTCTTAACAGTGGAGGTAAAAAAATTTTAAAAGGGCAGAGGCAGAGTTTTGTATCTGTCCGAGAGAGAGAGAGAGAGACTCAGACTAAGCCTCAGGTGGCAACAAATCCCAATGCAGACACAAGGCTGCCTAGCTACGCACACGCACACACACACACACACCAAAAACAACCACAAAGATTAAATACCACCGAATACTGAGCAACTCTTTAATAAGCTTTGCTGCCTTTTATCAAATCTTCAGAGTCCCTAAAAGAATTAGCAGCTTATTAGTGTAACTCCTTTTCTTATCATGTTTTCTCCCTCCGCTGCATTTTTAGGGTAAAATATTATGCTGAAAATATACCAAAAAAAAAATTTAGGCTAACCTTTGAAAGATCAAGGACGAGCTATGGAAACAGGCTGATCGTAGCATTAGCGAACTTGAAAGTTGAGCGCAACCGCCTGTAGTAAAATACATGTTTCCCATATATAAACTGTTTATATTTCTAACAATACTTTCTAAGAAAACAGGTTACCTCCATGCCTTGCCTAACATACATCAGGCAGCAGCTATTACGACATGAAACCGGTTCCTGTTCCTCACTGGGGTCCTGCTATTGTTGTGTGACTGTGGCAACCTCTCTTCAAATTGTTTTTTTCCCCCCGTTCGATTTGCCAAATGTACTTACTGTAGGTGTCTGAGCACCTCTCTGTGTGTATTGCTATCTTTTTGCCCATTCAATAGAGGGTCATAAACACTAGCTTTATTAGCCTGTTCTGGCGGAATGTTACTCGCTTCATTTAACCACCCCTGCACCAGCAGCACTTTTTGCTTCCTAGCGCAGGAGGAAAAAAAAAAAAAAAAAAAAAAAAAAAATCAGTCACCAAAGAATACAATTAAATTTCATGACTGTGCATATTTGCAATTCCCATTTCATTTATTACAAAGGACATTCTTTAATGTCCAATTCCCCAGTCCTCTGGGAAACACATTTCCATTTTGTGAGGCATGACTGATACTGTGGTAAACTTACAGTCACTGCCTAATTTAATCTGTGGCAAAAAAAAAAAGCACAAGCAGGTTCTTCTTTTTATTGCCTCGATAAGCACAGGCGCTTGCAAGCGTCGGATATAAAGTTTCCTTTCCGTTCTCAAGTTTAAGCCATGAGGAACGCAGCAGGAAAATATGAAAGGGGGTTCGGATTTAACACGCTGTGTGAAAACTCGGATCACTTATTTGTGAAGATCAAAAAAGCTGAAAGAGAATTTAGACAAAATATGTCCTTCATAGGAAATGCATTACGGATCTCAAATATTGTGTATAAGTGCAGCTGGCAGACACGAGAATTGTTGAATAAAAGGTAAGAAAAGGGACTTTATTACGAAACGTGTACACGTGCAGGGCAGCTTTGACAAATCAGTTGTGCTGACATCAAGTTCTCTTGAGATGTTTCTCGGGAATTATTTAGCAATGACAAAAAACAAGCCGTAAAAGAAAATTTAAATTTGAAAATTTGTTTCGGTATTGATGAGATCACAATCGGTTATATTATTAAGTGTTTGGGAAATATCGGCAAATTAGCATAATTATGTAATTATGAAATATCGGCAATTAGCATAATTATGTAATATCGGTAAGTACCATTGTTGGGTTTCCCTCAGATAATGAAAAGTAAGTAGATAAAGTGAAAGTGAATTATTGTCATTGTGACAGCACACCACTGCACCCAATAAAACGCGTCCTCTGCCTTTAACCCAAACGGCTGCATATAACGGTTAATATCCGAATCGGACAATATCGTCATATCGGACATCGGCATCAAACACCCCTAATATTTACCCATGGTTACTAAAGACAACGCCTGAAGACAGACAGCTAACCCAGCTAATGCTCACGTCCGCAACGGTGGCAAAGCATTGAATCAGTGGCTCCTCTAATGAGCTAATACAGGACTGCAGCATGGAATTGAAGCACAGCATGTGCACAGAAACAACAGAAAGGCCAAGCTGTTAGCAGAGGAGAGGAGTCATTAGCATGCTGCAGCTTATGGAGCCATTCATTTACGATCACCAGGTTTCCTGCCCATGTCCATTAGCGTTTATCATAACAGTGATGAGAAACTACCCTGTACAACATTGTGTATTGTTAAATGTATCAGAGTCAGTTGAATAGCGGTTTGACTTCACAGACCTAAAAGTTCAATCATTATTTGTAAACACAGTCCATACGATAGTAATGCAATTCTAACATTTTTAATTATTCAGCAAAATGACAAAATATTGTACCTGGATAACTGGAATACTAACGGACAATCTACAAAAATGATCTTCTTTAAAGATTATTGGCTTATATTAGGGATGACTCGATTGGTTAGAATTTCAGGATCGATTATCGGAAAAAAACTATAGCCCGTCTGATCAGATACCTAAGCCTAAAAGCTCAACTTAACTTTGCAAAGTATCGGATTGATATTGGGAACGTCAGATACTCCAAGTTACAGTATTGGTATCAGGCATGAAAAAGTAGTAGTATAGTATAGTGTAGTATATATCAGTCTTGTGGGTTGCCGTTTCAGCTTTTTTTGCTTGTTACTTCACTAAATACCTCACATATTATATCAATAGTATTAAGGTAGCTAACGGTTCCCACAAACACAATTCTGATTAATTCTGGAATAATTTTTGCATTACTTGAATTAGAACATATTGATAAATATGCCCAAAAAATCTGTGAAGATGGTTTTAATATAATGCTAAACAAGAAATGTCCTATTTCATTGTACTTGGTTTGCAATTTTTTCCTTTGTATTGTAATGTTTTTGTTGTAAAGCGAATCTTGGATTTCATAACAGCCCATCATTTTTTGTTGAAAACTTAACAGACCTTATATGCGCAGCCCAGTATGTTAAATAAGCTGTTACTAGAAAAGCAGTACAAAAAGACTTATCTTGTAAGTCTAAAAATTTTAGCTACAACGTTGTTCCATATAAAACCTTCATTTGAGGTAAAGGTTTTTTTTTATTATTTTATTTACCCTTAGCCTAACCCTAGAAGTTTTTCTAATGACCTAACTGACATTAACTGTACTTTTCACTAACCAGTGGTTTCAGTCTGGATGCGATTCCAAATTATTTGCAAGATTAAATTTGGCTACCCCAGAAGACTGACTTCTTCATTTCAAACATTGCAGAATGCTTTGATTCTGTTTTATAATATATGTACTGTATATATGTATAAAAATATTACATTATTGAAATACAAGACTATCCAGTGACCATCTCATATCTGACTGAAGCTTTGGTGATAGTACATTTTCCAGTTCAGGACGGTTCCATTGCTAGGCTCAAATGTCACCATCAGATTACATGAGCAACCAACTGCCATTCAACTACGTTACGACGTCTGTGGTGATGTCATTATATGATATGACTTTGAACTAAAGGATTCTATAAAGGCTTTAGAGTTGAAAACCACAATGGGTTGCATAAGGAGGTAGCGCACATAGATAGCTAAGGTAGTTACGCAACAATGAGTGTCAACTGCTGAAAAAACAAGACGAGGACCTTTGATTGATACTCACTGTAATTCATCGGGGGGCTGTTTCGTATTAATCAACTGCTTCACCGTATCTGCCGTCTAATGCAACGCCAGCACAATATGACAGACAGGGAGGCACAAGATCTCGGCAAAGGTCAACTTATCGACGCCATTGAATGGGAATATTGGGAGGGTGAAGAAGAGGCGGCGACAGCGCGGGATGACGAAAGTGCAAAATTTAAAACAGCAAAGAAGCATCCTCATCACTGCAGTGATTGCAGTGACTGCAGTGATGAGGATGTGGTCAACGAAATGTGTCTGGTTAACGGAGTGTCGTATAAAAACATCGCGAAAGAAGGAAGCAACGTCAAATCTTTAGAGATCTTTTTTTCTGGTTTCCCCCGCATGGTTGGTCTATCCCACTTCCCGAGACTTTGCCAGCTCGTCATCATAGGGCAGAACATTAAAAATATCGAAGGTCTGGAATGCTGCCCTCTCCTCCGAGAGCTCTGGGTCGCCCAATGCCATCTGACGACCATATCTGGATTACAGAACTGTATAAAACTAAAAAAACTTTACCTTTATGACAACCAAATCGTTGAGATAAACAATTTAGAGTTACAGACCAATCTAGAAATTCTGTGGCTGAATAATAACTACATATGCCACATAAAGGGCTTAAATACACTTCAAAATCTCAAGGAACTTAACCTTGCTGATAATTTGATAGAGAAGGTTGGTCAGAACCTTGATCCCAATCTTTGTATCCAGAATCTTAATCTCTCTGGAAACAAAATCAGGTCTTTTAAGGAACTGACCTGTTTGGTCAGCTTGCAACATCTTAAAATCCTAGTCCTTAATGACCCAACTTCAACCCCAAACCCAGTATGTCTTCTTGCCAACTACACCATGCATGTTCTTTACCACATGCCACGACTTCAGCGGCTTGACAACTACGACCTGTCAAGCAAGCAAATCTTGGAAGCAGCCCAGTCGGCAGTAATGAAGAAAATGATATACTACAATATGCGTGTGCGTATGGTTCAAAGAAACATGGTGGAGACGAGGGTCTGTTTGGCAGAGAGGAAGAGAACTCTACTACAGTTGCCAGAGGAGTGTATCAGGACACTCAGTCTCGAGCTCAAACATCTTGAACTTGAGCTCCCCAAGTTGCTTGCCGAGAGTAAGGAGTCCATTTCAAATTCAGAGGATGAACCCGCAGAGCTGGAACTCTTTTCTGGTTCATCCGAAGAATATCTTCTAAGTACTGATCAAAGTACAGAGAACAGTGAAGATGCTGCTACACTCGCCATAATCGAAAAGATCGAAGCGTTGAAAGAAAGACTAAAACTATGGATGACCAGATTGGCTGAGATTGAAGCCTGTTATGAGCATGACTTGGCCCAAGCCATAAACATTACGAACTGTACCGTCGAGTTCCTTTTGATGGAGCTTGGGAGTCTTGGAAATATTCGGCTGGATGAAGGCAGTCCCTCAGACCCTTGGTTTAGTTCATGTTGCGAGCTCCTACTTTCCAGCTTTTCTCTTTCGGACTACAAGATTCAAGGCATCACTGGCATTAGGGTTGATAGTGCATTCCGTATTTTCCACAGAGCAATGAAGCGTCGCTTTGACGACAAAATCCACAGCCTGCTCGCCCGCAAGCACAGTCACATCACTTCTCAGACTTACAGACGTCAAGTAGAATATTTGTTCTACACAACTGATACTTCGGGTCACAGCGAAAACAAGGACCTTCTGTATATTATAGAGAATGGCTTTAAAACGGCAGAAGAATATAAGGCCCTAGGGCAACAGGGTGCAATTCCTTTGTCCAACAGTCTGGGTGTTACTGACCAGCCGAGGATCGAACAAACTCTGGAAAATGCATGCAAACACAAAGCTAGGGAAAACATGGATGCAGCACCATTTAGGCACGGACAGATCATTATTTCCAAAGTGTTTGTGGGAAACAGCAAACCAATTCATGATGGCGAATTAATTGACAGAAGCAACCACCCCTCACTCTGCTCTGTGTACCGTGATGTAAACATTAAGTATACTAATTTAAGTGACGAGATGTCACACTCGCCCACTACAGACGCTTGCCCCGAGGGCAGCCTTTGTCCAAAACAGTGGTATGTGTTTGATCATGAACTAGTCTTGCCTGAGTACATTGTATACTTCCAATACATAACTGAGAACCAAGAGGACATTATGGACAAAGACAAAATGTCAGAAAATATAATCATGGACAAGAAAGTCCTAAGCAAGGAACCCAAATTGTTCATCTTGGAGGACAAATTTCTGCTAAATATTTCTGCAGCCAATTTCCTAAGTCAGATTACTGAATTGAATCTGTATGGAAACAGTCTCAGCAAGATAAAGGAGGTTTATTGCCTAACTGCTCTGCGGTATCTTAACATCAGCTTCAACGAGTTCTCGAATCTAGAAGACATTTCCTACATGGCCAAACTTGAGATTTTGGATGTAAGCTTTAACCGGCTGGTTACACTGAAGGGGCTGAGAGGGTTGTCTCACCTCAAACAGCTTGATGTGCGCTGGAACAAGTTGACAAAAGCTAGAGAAAACGCAGAAGTGCTAAGAAAACATGCCCCGAAACTTCTTAGGCTCGACACTCGACACAACCCCTGGAACAGACAGGAGGGGGTAAGAATGACAATACTGGGACATCTAAAAAGCCTAACATATTTGGACGATGTCAAGGTAGGAGAGGATGAAGCAGCTTCTGCTGTTGACGTAGCAGCGTGTTCCAAAATAAGCCAGGCCTCTCTTTTGGCGCACTCTCGCACCAATGATGACCGCCCCACAATTCTCTCTCTACTATCAACACCCCAACTACTATGTTTACTCAATCCACCCCCCTGGGGTCTCAGTCGAAAGCTGAAGCCCGACTGGATTACAAAGATCACATCCCTAAACCTCGACAATCAGAGAATTTCAAAGCTCATAAACCTGAATAAGCTAGTTAACTTGCGCTGGGCCTCATTTAACAACAACAACATATCTGACGTGGAAGGACTAGAGAGTTGCCAAAGACTGGAGGAGCTCTTCCTGGACAACAACAACATCCACACACTCAACGGTCTGTCGAACCTGCAGAGCCTAAATAAACTCAGTTTAGATGGGAATCAAATCTCAAACTTGGATGCTTTGGTTTTAGATGAGCTGAGCAGCCTTACCTTTCTCTCTGTGGAGAACAACTTTATCAGTTCTCTTTATGGGATTCAGAGGATTCAGTCTTTACATGAACTCTACATCGGCAACAACCAGATTTACACCTCAAGAGACATCTACCACCTTAAGGCCATGAAAAACCTTATTATCCTGGATCTCTATGGCAACCCCTTAGTAGACAAGCTAGAAAACTATCGGATATATGTTGTTTTCCACCTACCTTCACTGGAAGCACTAGATGGGTTGGCAGTAAAAGAAACCGAGTGCGAAAGTGCACAAGATATGTTTGGCGGAAGACTGACCTCGGATATGGTTGCAGAGAAGCTCGATCACTCGAACTTTGCGGAAATACCGTACCTTACCCTGAAGTCGTGCTCCATCAAGAGTGTGGATCTTTCTCCGGCAGAAATGTTTAGAAATCTACACACCGTTAGTTTAGATCACAACAATCTGACCTCTTTCTCTGGTCTTATTTACCTTCCGAACATCAAAGTTCTCTATCTAAACCATAACCACATCGAGTCCGTCCTGCCAAAGCAAAGGACGAACCAGAATCAGCAGACACCAAGACAGGTACTCTACAGTAAAGTCACCTCCAGTGGGTATGGCCAACATGGCAACAAGGAAAATGGGGGCATTGTTAGCTTGGAGCCTTTAATGGGCACTCTAGAAGTGCTGCATTTGGGTCACAACGGCATCGCCGATATGGCCAATCTGCAGCTCAGCCGGCTTACTAATCTCAGGGTGCTGTTTCTTCAAGGTAACAGAATCAGCCAAGTAGAAGGAATGCAAGGACTTCGCCAGTTAAGAGAACTTGTGTTAGATAGGAACCAGATCAAATTTCTGGGTAAGAATTCCTTCATTGCCCAGAACCTCCTTTTAGAACTGCACTTGGCAGGAAACCGAATCCGGGAGCTTAACTATTTCAATCCACTGAATCAGCTACGCAAGCTCTGTCTTGACATGAATAAACTGCAGAGCATCACTGAGATTGAGAAACTGAAAGTTCTCACTTCCCTGACAGAACTCTCTGTTGTCGGCAATCCCGTGGCACACAATTCTCTACACCGACAAGCCGCGGTGCTTCACCTCCCGCGGCTACAACTCCTAGATGGAGCGATGGTTACTCTGGAGGAAAGAATGAGAGCTGAACTACTGGGCGAAGATCCATCACTTAGTTACCATTGCCCCGGAATTTCTCACCTTACAACTGAAATCTACATACCTGGACTGCTCCCTTTTATGCCCCTTAACGCCCCTCTAAGGGTAGTGAACGTAAGCGGAGGTGTTCAAGCCTATGGCAATGCTGCCCAAGGTGAACAACCCGATGTTATGTTCAGATACATTAGAACAGGCGACAACCTACCAACCACCGTCCCTCAACACATTTTAAAACCAGGTGCACGACCTCCAATTTCCAAATGGTGGGAATCTACCACCCACGTGGCAACCAGAGGCGATGGACTCTGATGATGTACAGCCAGGATTAAAAGCAGTACACGTCATAATGGACGACAAAATCCCGATGTCTGTGTCCGTTCCCCCTTATGCATACCTGATGTCTCATCGGTGTGTGTTGAACAAGTACGTTAGGAGCAGCACTTGGTGAGTTCATTAGAGGTGATGGCCTTCTCTTCTGTTGTGTTGTTCTTTAAAGAAAACATACCTAACACGTGAAGCAGGCCATTGCATGGTATCTCACGTGTGGCTTACAAAATTTAGCCATCAGAAATTATACTGAAAAAGCAGGTATGGAATTTTATACATTTTTGCGCTATTAAAAAAATTAGAGTTCATGAACAAAAAACTGTAATGAAGCTTTTTAATATTTTACATTTATTTTTGTATTGTGGATTTTTCGCTTTATCGCAGGTTTTTGCGGTATATAAAAAAATTTAAATTTTAAATTATTTTGTGATAAAACAGACATTTTTTTTAGCCTAAGAAGGAAAAAAAACCTAATAAATAATCTTATGCAATTTATACTTCTCTTTTCTTTGTGTTTTCAGGGGATCACAGAGCAGGACTATGCAGACAACATCATTCTTGATACACTGTAACAGCCCCCGCCCATTTTCTTTTAAATTAAACTTTGTCTAGTTCCACTGTATGATACTTGTGTTGAGAGACTGGTGTGTTCAAAAATTCTGTAAATAATAATAATAATAATAATAAAAAAAACTACTTACTTCACTGGGAACCCTCACTGTGTGTTTGTATGTTTATATTTATAGCTGTCAAAATTATAATGAATGTGAAAAACTTAATTAATTTGTAAAGATGAATCAAATTAAAATATCTAATGATTCCACTTTCCATCTACTAATTGTTGCCCTGATACACAGTTGATAGACATTATGTGAAATTTACTATAAATTTTTCTAAACATCAAAACATAGATACAGGCGAATCTCGAGATACGAGCATAATCCGTTCCAGGACCGAGCTCATAAATCGAGGTACTCGTATCTCAAATTATGTTTTCCCAAAAGAAATAACAGGAAAAAAAATTAATCTGTTCCGGCCTCAAAAAAAACTCTCTTATTACTGCTAATAACAATGAAAAAACTTAGTAAAAAAAAAAGTTTTTAATTGCTATAGAGACATACACAAAAATTATAGTATATATAAGGATTCCTGTGATATAAAATAATAATGATTAAGAAAACATTTTATATTACAGTGAGCGAGACAGCGCGACAGAGAGTGAGAGAAACAGAAAAAAAAAAAAAGAAAATACAGGGGAGGGTCCTCGACGTTGGTTCGGTTCCTCGCAGCAAAATTTTCAACAATATATTTTCAAAAATATATTACAGTATTTGTAGTGTTTCTCATTGTTTGCGTTCACCACACTCTCTAAATAACAAAGTAATAATAAGCAGTATTTTATCATCTCTAATCTGTCAGTCAGCACATCCCACAGCTGTGCTAATAAATATGAAAATTTGAATCTGAGTACTATATATATATAGTACTATATATATATATATATTTATATATGTGTGTGTGTATATTGTGTGTGTAATGAAATGTTTGGACAATATCGACCTATCGGTTTGGACAATATCGGCCTATCGGATATCGACAAAGTTAATATCGGACATCCCTTATGACAACTTAAAAATTTAAAAAAATGTAACTTTCTGTTATCTGTACATATTTCCAACAGTGTTTCTTGTCATCATTACCGTTAGAGAACACAGTGTTTTTTTTTTTTTTTTGCCCACACAGCAGGTGCTAGGGGACTTTAGGAATGTTTTACTAACGAAGATTTGCTGTGACCGCTTGTCGTCTGCAATGCTGTTTACGGTCATAAAATACTGCGGGGTTCAAATAAAGCCCTCGTGTATACGCTGCTAAAACGGACTGAGAAATGAGACTACCAGGACCACCGGGGATCCTGACAGCAATCACATACTTTTTATTCCACAAATTGGCCCCTGAGAGGGACGTGAGCGTTCGCAGCACCTAGTTAAAATGATCGAGGTGACTCTCCGTCATTGATTTTCTCAACCTTTTTGGCATCCTGCCTGGCAACCGCTGACCAAGTCCGGAGCTCCCCGCAGTCTAATTTAGTTGCCTCTGCTCATCTTTAAATCACATTAAACTGTAGTTAAACTTTGGCCACATCGAGAAGACAGCCATCACTGAAGAGGTCATTATGTTAGGAGGACTTGATACGCGTGGCTAAAAGAGCAGTAGGAGTGTGTGGGGCTTATTGATCATGTGCTCCTCGGGGAGTTACGATTTAATGTGAATACAGATTAGAAAGTAAAGGAAAGACAGAGTGGAATTAAATCGAGGAAAGATACAGATTGAAACATCGGTAAGATCCGAGGAATATGCCTCATTGAGAAAATACAAACAACGTAAAGGTCAGATTTTTCCACTCAGATGGAGATTTAAAAAGACGACTTGGACAAGTCGCTCCACTCTAAATACCAGACCATGTGGTGAGTAATGAGGCCTATTTTTTTTTTTTTTTATTTCAATTTACTCAGAGCAAAGTCAGCCAAGTGTGGCACTTCATTAAATTAATTATGCTAACTTAATTACATTCTTTCACAGGTCAAGTGATCGTGGCTCCTGATTGATGGCCCAGTTTATAAGGTAATCTTTTTTTTCTGAGCTGGTAATGGCATTAAAATGAAAATTAACAGCTACAATCTATCAACAAATTGCAAAAACATAAGGTTGCCTGGTACCTTTTAAACAAATAAAGCTAACTAGTGGAGCTAAGCGTACTAGTGCTCTTCTAAGAAGGTGATAAATAGTAACAAAGGAGGCTTTTTTTTGTAAAACAGAAGATAAAAAAACCCGCCTTTCTCAATGATTTTATAAAAACAAAAAGATAACATTAGGCAACAGTTCCGTTGGACAACAACACATCATCACAGAATGTTGATAAATATTGCCTTAAAACTGGCGCCATCAGGCATCACAACCAGTTAAAGTGGGCCTAAGAAAGCGGGCTACTAAAGGGAAGCTAGCTGTGTTGTTATATGGTGTCCCTATTATGCTCCCTGTTGGTGATATTATGTAACGTCAGCTAGACATTAGATTTTGGTAGACATTTGAAAGAGCATCCTAAAGTTACAATACAGCACATCGCAATTTTTTTTTAATCCGATCACGCGGAATTTTTTCTATATCGTGATATTTTACAAGATATTTTTTAATAAATAATTATAAATATTAAAAATAATAATTTAAATTTACAATATTTTCATTATTTTCGAAAAAAAAAAAAAAAATTCTAGCCTAAAGAGGGGAAAAAAAGAGTAAATAAATAAACAATAAGACAAAAGACCACAACTACCCCGATCCTGGTCCATTGTTGATAGAATAAAACAATAAGCTAGTTTTTCAGCATCTTGTTTAAAAGTACAGTCATAACATAATTACCTGTAACTAAGTCCAGTCCTTTGTTTTCATGCAAATAGGAGCAAGTATGTTGGTAAATATTAATATTTAATGAAATATCATTTGACAAAACATCTCTGACAGGTAGTGTCTGGGAATTTTTTTCACTTTCAAAAATTCATCAAGCGGGCCATATTGAACACCCTAGCGGGCCGGTTTTGGTCCACGGGCCATATGTTGCCAGAAATTGACAATACTGTAGTGTATAAAGCAGTGGCAAAATAACAACACACTTGTTATTGACTCACAAAGTTTTAGTTTTCAGCTAAAAAAGTTAGTCACCTAATACATAACTCTTATTATACGCAAACAGGAAGCTTAACATTTGGAGTTCATGCCACAACTTATTATCACTGAGTAGCACAAGACCGTTGCTCGTGGATATGGACGGCAATTTTCACAGTTGCAATCCTTTTGATGACAACGAGCACAGATACAGCAATCCATCCCACACAAGTTTCGCAGCTGACTACTCTTAAACTGCCTCAGGATGTGTAAGAGCTTTTGGCATTTCAAACCTTTTATCCAGCCCAGCATGCCGAGCGAGTGCTGCACGGGTATAAATAAAGACTTACACAAGTGCCCCATGGCATGGTAACAGGCTTGAATTTAAGGCCGTCCATATATTACGGCACGACCGTCACTTTAGTGCCGAAATCAATTCTGCTATAGGGCTAAGGGCGACAGAGGAATGTGGCCTTGGTCAGATTGAGGTTTATCTAAGTCAAGCAGGCTGAGAAAAAAAAATGCAGAGCCTATAATGAACCCAGGCTTGTCTAATAAGGCCCTAAATCCCCCCCCCCCCGTTTCCATACAACGCCAATGTGTGCAGCGGCATCAACATTCGGCCCCCGGCATTTTCCCTCAACACCCCACTCTGTAATTTCTACTGTTCTACAAACAGCTTTACAAAACAAAAATCATATGCAAAATGTATCATCAAAAATGAATTTTGTGTCGAATCACAACCTACACAGACAAAATTCCATTAACGTTGACCTTTAGCTACAGAGACAATAAGAGTAACATCAACAGTAGCAAAAAGAACTCGGCATATTTGCAGCGAAAACGTTATCTAAATCAGTACTTCTCAAATAGTGGCGCAGACCCCCCAACCCCCACTAGGTGGCAGCAACTGTTGCAGTCGTTTGTATAGATAAAAAAAAAACCCGAACATATTATCAGGTTCTAATTGTATTTCAAATCAGGGAAGGGGCTGGCAAGGGTTAAAAAAAAATCATTACAGAAAATGATTGAGAAGCACTGATCTAAATGAAGTAAAGACGGTAGAACTGTTACTGATCCGTAATCTCTCAGAGGGAGGTCAAGAGCTCGATATGTGGCAACTTAATTAATTGCAAAGCTGACTATAAATTGTTATGGTCTATATTTTTATTTTTAGAACAAGGAGAGCACAACACCAAATGAAAATAAGGAGAGTCTGTAAGCTCATAACAACTCACCGTATTTTCCGGACTATAAGTCGCACTTTATGTTTTATCCTTTGTCTGGGTTTGCGACATTATACTCAGGTGCGACTTATGTATTAAAATATATATTTTCATACTGACAGCCGCGAAAGGGCACTGTTGGCTTGTGTACCAATATCTGCTACTCCTGTACCACTGAAAATGTACATGTTTGTTATTTTCACACTGACAACCACTAGGGGGCACTCTAGGCTTGTCTACCAGCATCTGCTACCCCTGTAAGTCGCACTTTCTTTCATCCTTTGGCTGGTGCGACTTATACTCTGGAGTGGAAAATAAAGTACATTTAAAATGCGAGAAATAAACTTTTTTCATGAACCAAAGTGGGGCCCAGCAAAGAAAGTTCGGCCAGCACACTGAAATAATGTAACATGACAGGCTTATATTTAGTGATAAATATAATTATGTGCC